GTAAATTAAAAATTGTTATTTTACGGTGATAATCTTGTTTTCTTGTGCCCAATAATGCATAATTTCATTTGATAAACACGTTTAGATTGAATGGTAATTTATAATCAGTCACAAGAACGTCGAATCTGAATCACTTGAATAAAACACGGGGGTGCTTAACTTTTTTCCAGGTATCTATCGTATAACAGAAAGTAGGTATAAATGATATCTGTTGTTTAAAGAAAAGTAGGTATAAAGTGTATCTGGGGTTTAACAGAAAGTACTTATAAATGGTACCTGTGATTTAAAAATAAGAAAGTGTAAATGGTATATGTGATTTAACAGAACTTACGTATAAATGGTATCAGTGGTTTTACAGAAATTAGGTATAAATGGTATCTGTATTTTAACAGAAAGTTGGTATAAATTGTGTCTGTGGTTTAATAGAACGTAGGTATAACTGGTATCTGTTTTTTAACAGAAAGTAGGTATAAATGTTATCTGTGTTTAGCAGAAAGTAAGTATAAATGGTATCTGTTTCTTAACATAAAATACATATAAATGGTATATGTGGTTTGACAGAAAGAATGTATAAATGATATATATGGTTTAAGAGAAGGTAGGTATAATATGTATCTGTTTAACAGAAAGTAGATATAAATGTTTTTTGTTGTTTAACAGGAAGTAGGTATAAATGGTATCTGTTGGTTAACAGAACGTAGTTATAAATGGTATCTGTTCTTTTAACACACGTAGGTATAACTGGTATTTGTGGTTTGACAGAGAGTAGGTATCAATGGTATCTGGGGTTAAACAGAAAGTAGGTGTAAGTGGTATTAACAGAACGTAGTATAAAGTTTATCTCTGAATTAACAGAAAGAGGTGTAATGGTATCTGTTCTTTAATAGAAAATAGATATTAATGATATATGTTATTTAACAGAAAGTACGTATAAATGGTATCCGTGGGTTAACAAAAAGTATATATTTATGGTATCTGTTGTTTAGCAGAAAGTACGTATAAATGGTATCTGTGGTTTAATAGAAAGTATGTATAAATGGTATCTGTTGCATTTGCTCCCCCTTAGATTTCGCTAAAAATTGCACGTATTATGATGTAAGCTTAACATCCTTAGTTAAAGTAAATATTTTTAGTAGTTTTTATTATAACTGCAAATTTTTGTTTGCGTTTAGGCACACATAACACATATTCTTTTATGCTGTTGACTTTTACTGAAAAGCTTATCCCATATATAAATTTTTGCCCCTCCCCCTGTGCGCGAACAAGCCCTTGGTGTCAATGGTTTAACACAATGTTGTTGTACTTTTTGCCAATTTTTTAACACTTCGTAGTTATAAATGATATCTATTATTTAACAAAAGAAAGTTATATTTAGTATCTATTGGTTAACAGAACGTAGGCATACTTTATGTCTATGGTTAAATATAATATTGTTATACTTGTTATCTGTTGTGTATGAAACCTAGGCATACTTAATGTCTATGGTCTATGGTTTTGATGTCTATGGATAAGTATTTAATACATAGAGTTTAAAATTGCCTAGATGTAGTATGTATACACTCTTTATTGTTCAACAGAAGGTTGCCATGGTTGTTATATATTGATCTAGTATTAAACAGGGAAATTTAATAATTACTGCTTAACACATGTGGTACTTGCAATATAATATCTAATATTTTATATGCTTTAATATTCTTAAGTATCCTTGTTATTTATCGTTTTACTAAAGATAAACAGACTCAATATTTATGGTATAATATTGTTATGAGGTATTTGATATTTCTTGTTCAACAGTACATAGATACACATAGTTTGATGATCTTATTTTACTTAGATATACTTAGTATATGTGTTACTTAACAGAACGTATTCATACTTTCTATATATTGGTAGAAATATTGCTCTCTCAGTATGATGTTTGTTGTTATACCTATCGTTTGTGGGATTGTATTGGGTATACATATACATCATTTATACGTACTTTCTGTTAAAAAATGCCATTTATATCTACGTTATGTTAATCAACATATACCATTTATACCTACGTTATGTTAAAGAATAGATACCATTTATACATCCTTTCTGTTAAGCCACAGATACCCATTATACCTACGTCCCGTTAAACCACAGATACCATTTATAACTACTTTCTGTTAAACAAAAGATACAATTTATTCTTACTTTCTGTTAAACTACAGATAGCATTTATACTTACTTTCTGTTAAACCAAGGATACCATTTATAAATACTTCCTGTAAAAACAACAAATACCATATATACCTACTTTCTGTTAAACCACAAATACCATTAATATATAATTTCTGTTAAACAACAGATACATTTTATGCCTACTTTCCTTGAAACCACAGATACAATTAATACCTACTTTCTGGTAAAACATAGATACCATTTATTCCTACGTTATTTTAGAGAATAGATACCATTTATATCTACTTTCTCTAAAAACAACATATACCATTTATACCTACTTTCTGTAAAACCACAGATACCATTTATAGCTTCTTTCTTTTAAATCACAGGTACCATTTGTACCTCCTTTCTGTTAAAATACAATTTCCAATTGTACCCACGTTCTGTTAAAAGAATAGATACCATTTATACCTACTTTCTGTCAAACAACAGATAGCATTTATACGAACTTTCTGTTAAAAAACAAATATCATTTATACCTAGTTTTTTAAAACCACAATTACCTTTTATATTTACTTTCTGTTAAACAACAGATACAATTTATACTTATTTTCTTTTTAACCACAGCTACCATTTATACATATTTTCTTTTCAAATACAGATATATTTTATACATACTTTCTGTTAAACCCCAGACATCATTTACACCGATGTTTTATTAAACCGCAGATACGCATTTATACGTACGTTCTGTTAAATCACATATACCATTTATACCTTGTTTCTTTTAAACCACAGTTACCATTTTTGTCTTTTATCTGTTAAAATAGAGATACCTTTTATACCTACTTTCTGTTAAACAACAGATACATTTTATTCCCACTTTCCTTGAAACCACAGCTACAATTAATACCTACTTTCTGTTAAAACACGTTGTGTTAAAGAGTATATATCATTTTTATCTACTTTCTGTTAAACCACAGATACTATTTATAACTACTTTCTCTTAAACAAAATTACCATTAATATCTACTTCCGTTAACCACAGATACACTTTATACCTACTTTCACTCTAAACCACAGACACCATTTATAACTACTTTCTGATAACGAAAATATACCATTTATATATACTATCTGTCAAACCACAGATACCATTTATACCTACTTTCCTTTAAACCACAGATACAATTTTACCTACTTTCCGTTAAACAAATAATTCCAGTTAAACCTACGTCCTGTTAAAAGAACAGATACCATTTACACCTACTTTCTGTAAAAACAACAGATACCATTTCTACCTACTTTCTGTTAAAAAACAAATACCATTTATACCAACGATCTGTTAAACAACAAATACCATTTAGACATACTTTCTGTCAAACCACAGATACTATTTATAACTACTTTCTCTTAACCACATATACCCATTACACCTACTTTCCTTTAAACCACATATACAATTTTAACTACTTTCTGTTAACAAATATACCATTTATAACTACGTTCTATTAAAAGAGCAGATACCATTTATACCTATTATCTGTAAAAACCATAGTGGTTAAAGGAATGTAGGTATAAGTGGCATCTCTTGTTTATCCAAAAGTAGGTGTAACTATTTTCTGTGATTTAACGGAAAGTAGGTATAAATGGTATCTGTGGTTTAATAAAACGTACGTATAAATGATATCTGAATTTTGCTGAAAGTATGTATAGATGGTACATGTTTTTCAACAGAAAGTATATATGGTATATGTGGTTTAACAGAAAGTAGGCATAAATGGTGTGTGTGATTTAACGGAAGTAGGTATAAATGTTATCTCTGGTTTAACATAAAGTAGGTATAAATGGTATTTATTTCTTAACAGAACGTAAATGTAAATGGTATCTGTTCTTTTTACAGAAAGTACTTATAACTGGTAGATGTTGTTTAACAGAAAGTAGGTATTAATTGTATATGTTGTTTAACAGAAATGATATATAAATGGTATATGTTGTTTTAACAAAAATGTAGGTATAAATAGTATGTGTTGTGTAACAGAAATTATATATAAATGTTATTTGTGGTTTAACAGAAAGTAGGTATAAATGGTATCTGTTATTTTTCCGCAAAGCAGGTATAAATGACATCTGTTGTTTTTACATAAAGTATGTATAAATGATATCTATGGTTTAAAAGAACGTAAGTATAAATGGTATCTGTGTTTAAACAGTAAGTAGATATAAATGACATCTGTTGTTTTTTACAGAAAGTAGGTATAAATGGTATCAATGGTATAACAGAAAGTAGGTATAAATGACATCTTTGGTTTGAAAGAACGTAAGTATAAATGGTATGTGTGTTTAAACAGTAAGTAGGTATAAATGGTATCTTTTTAAACAGAACGCTGGTGTAAAAGGTATCAGATACCATTTATACGTACTTTATGTTAAAAAACAGATACAAAGCCCCCCAGTGGCACAGCGGTATGTCTGCGGACTTACAACGCTAGAAACCGGGTTTCGATACCCGTGGTGGGCAGAGCACAGATAGCCCTTGTGGAGCTTTGTGCATAATTAAAAAACAAACAAACAAACAGATAAAAAAAAAAACAACGTTCTGTTAAACAACAGATCCCTTTTAAAACAAATA